GAGAGGGAGAAGCAGGCTCTCCACTGAGCAGGGAGCCAGATGTGGGGCTCAATCCCAGGACCCAGGATCATGACCTGAGCTGAAGGCAGACACTTAACTGACTGAGCCACCCAGGCACCCCATAAAGTTTATTTTTTATTTATTTAAGTAATCTCTTTTTGGCTCAAGCTCATGACCCTGAGATCAAGAGTCGTGTGCTCTTCTGACTGAGCCGGTCAGGTGTATGGTTAATAATATTTGATGAGGGAGCAAAGAATACTCAATGGGGAGAGGACAGTCTCTTCAATAAATGGTGCTGGGAAAACTGGATGATACGCAAAAGAATGAAATGAGAATGCTATCTTAGACTACTCACACTGGTTAATTCAAAGTGGATTAAAAACTTAAATGTAAGACCTTAAACTGTTAAACTACTAGAAGACATAGGGAAAAAGCTCTTTGTCTTTTTTTTTTTTTTTTTTTAATTCTTATACGTTAACATACAGTGCTACATCAATTTCAGGTGTACAATACAGTGATCCAACAATTCTGTCCATTATACAGTGTTTATTGTGATAAGTTGTACTCTTAATCGTCTTCACCAATGTCACCTATCCCCCCCACTCACCTCCCCTCTAGCAACCATCCATTTGTTCTCCATAGTTGAGACTCTCCTTTTTGGTTTGTGTTTGTCTGTCTGTCTCTCTTTTTCCCTTTGTTCATTTCTTTTGTTTCTCAGATTCCACAAATGAGTGAAATCATAGGGTTATTTGTCTTTGGCTTTTTTTGCTTAGCATAATACTCTCTAGCTCCATTCATGTTGTTGCAAATGGAAAGATTCTATTCTTTATGGCTGATAGTATTCCATTGTGTGTGTACATGTGTATATATATGTGTGTGTGTATACGTACATATGTGTTTGTATACATATACATACACGTATATATGCATATACATACACACATATGTATACATATACACATACACACACACACACACACCACTTCTTTATCCATTCATCTGTTGATGGACTCTTGGGCTGCTGTGTGGCCACTGTTAATAATGCTGCAGTAAACATAGGGATGTGTATAGCTCTTCAAATTAGTGTTTTCATATTCTTTGGGTAAGTATTCAGGAGTGTGATTGCTGGATCATAGGGTAATTCCATTTTTAATTTTTTGAGGAGCCTCCATACTGTTTTCCATAGTGGCTGCACCAGTTCACATTCCCACCCACAAGTGCAAGAGGGTTCCTTTTTCTCCACATCTTCGCCGACACTTGTTTCTTGTGTTGTTGATTTTAGCCATTCTGGACAGGTGTGAGGTGATATCTCACTGTGGTTTTGATTTGCATTTCCTTGATGACAAGTGATGTTGAGTTCATATGTCTGTTGGCCATCTGGCTGTGTCCTTGGAGAAATGTCTGTTCGTGTCTTCTGCCCTATTTTAATTGGATTATTTGTTTTTTGGGTGTTGAGTTTTAGAAGTTCTTTATATATTTTGGATACTAACCTTTATCAGATATGCCATTTGCAAATACGTTCTCCCATTCTGTAGGTTGTCTTTTAGTTTTATTGGTTGTTTCCTGTGTTGCGGGGAAGCTTTTTACTTTGATGTAGTCCCAGTAGTTTATTTTTACTTTTGTTTCCCTTGCCTCAGGAGATATCAAGAAAGAAGTTGCTATGGCTTATGTCAGAGAAATTACTGTTTGTGCTCTCTCTTCTAGGATTTTTTGGTTTTAGGTCTCAGGTTTAGGTCCTTAACCCATTTGAGTTTATTTTTGTGTATGGTGTAAGAAAATGGTAGTTTTGGGAAAAAGCTTTTAACATTGGTCTTGGCAGTGATTTTTTTGGATATAACACCAAAAGCGCAGGCAGCAAAGACAAAAGTAAACACATGGCATCACATCAAATTGTAAAGCTTCTGCAGAGCAAAAGAAACAATCAGAAAAATGAAAAGGCATCCTATGGAATGGGAGAAAAAAATATATTTTTAAGATTTTATTTATCAGAGAGAGAGAGAGCATGAGTTGGGAGGGGCAGAGGGAGCGGGAGAAGCAGAGTCCCCACTGACTGAGCAGGGAGCCCGACACAGGGCTCAACCCCAGGACCCTGAGATCATGACCTGAACCGACTGAGCAACCCAGGTGCCCTGGGAGAAAATATTTGTAAACCATCTACATGATAAGGGCTTGGTATCCAAAATATATAAGGAGCTTATACAGCTTCATAGCAAAAAACCCCACAGGTTTATTTTAAAATGAGCAAAGGACTTGAATAGATATTTTTCCAAAGATACACAAATGGCCAAAAGGAAAAGATGCTCAACATCACTAATCACCAGGGATGCAAATCAAAAATATAATGAGATTACCTCACACCTCCTAGAATGGCTGTTACCAAAAAGACAAAAAGATAAGTGTTGGTGAGGATATAGAGATAAGGGAACCCTGTGCATTGTTGGCAGGAATGTAAATTGGTACAAGCCACTATGGAAATATTACGGTGTTCCTAAAAAAACTAAAAGTAGAACCAGCATATGATCTAGCAATCCCTCTCTGGATATCTGTCTTGAAGGAAATGAAATCATTATCTTGAAGAGATACTTGCACCCACATGTTCAATGCAGCATTATTCACAGTATCCAAAACATGAAACAACCTAAGCAGTTGTTGATGGATGAATGGATAAAGAAAATGGGACACACGCACAGAATATTATTCAGTCATGAAAAAAAGAAGGAAATCCTCCCTTTGCAACATCATGGATGGACCTTGAGGGCATTGTGCTAAGTGAAATAAGTCAAACAGAGAAAGACAAATACTATATGGTCTCACTTACTGGTAGAATCTAAAAAAGCCAGATTCCTAAAAATAGTAGAATGAATGGTGGTTGCCCAGGGCCGGTGGTTGGGGGAAATCAGGAGATGTTGGTTGAAGGGTACAAACTTTCAACTATGTGATGAATAAGTTGGGCATCTAATTATATAGTATGGTGATTATAATTAACAAATACTTTATTATATACTTGAACAAGTTAAGGGAGTAGATTTTAAATGTTATCACCAGAAAAAATAAATAAAGCAGTTATGTGAGGGAATGAAGGTATTAATCTTACTGTGATACATATATATCAGATCACCACATTATATAGCTTAAACTTACATGTTATGTGTCAGTTTCTCAAGCTGAGAAAAAAATACCAGCATTATTTTCAATTACAAAAAAATCGCTGACAGTCTGAATCTCACATCATGGAACATTATGTAGCCATTAAAAACAAGTGCAGATCTGTGTGTGTGACATGAATTGATGAAGCAAATTGCGGTATAGTAAGCATGGTGCATTTTATACTTACTAAAGAGTAAAGCAAAAACTGTATAGTCACAGATTATGCTTGAAATATTATATAGTGTATGTACCATAGATATATATTTTTTGTATATTTATTTCTTGTGCATGTTTCAAATGCTTTGATTGAATAGGTTTGGGGTGAGGGCTGAAGACCTGTTCTTGAAACAAGCTTTTTCAGAAATTTTGATGCCAACACAGATTTGAGAATCATTGAAATAGATGTTGGATTACCTTAAATAAAACATCCCTTTTTCTTTTTTTCAGGGCCTGGAAATTTACACTCCAGGATTCCAGGACAAACACAGTAAGTTGCTAAGGGCAATCACCAGTAACATTTTCACCTAGTCTTGCTGTAACAAATGGAGGGGTAGGGGATTAGGAAAGGGAAATGGGAATGGGTCTCTTGGCCATCCAGCCATGGCTGAGTAGTCATAGCTAGGTGAGGCACCTTTCACTGATATTAGAGCAAGCTAGATTTTGGCAAACCTTTTAAGGCAGAAGGAGCCCTCTGAATATAGGCAACACTGGTTTCAGTGTTACCTTCCAGAAATGTCTGTATCTGAGAAAGTTTTGCAACACTTTGAGTTCTGTGATTTACAGGGATGGCTGAAAAAGGATCACAGAGTCCTTTCTATATATAGCATCTCAGCCTTGTGAAACAAGCATTTTTGGATCCTAAAATGATTCTTTGTATGGATTTTTTTTTTTTTTTAAGAGTTGCATTGATTTTTCTTTTCCACTGGGAAGTAATTTAATGAAGGATTTTTTTTTTTAATGCAAAAAGCAGGCTGTGTGTAGAACAATCTCTGACTGCTACATTTCAGACTGTAGGATTTTTATTTAACAAAAGGGTTGTTGAGGGTGGTAAATCACCTTTGAAAAGGCCTGGGTGATGGAAGACTGTGGTCTCCTTGGGTAGTGAGGGCTCTGTTCTTGCCTCTTGCAGATGGCTGAAGAGGACCCCCTCCTCCTGATTTCAAAGGATACCAGAGTGCAGGGTTGAAAGGGAGTGGTGGGGAGGTACTCCTGTTCACTGATTCTCAGAGAGCTGTTTTATTTGCTGTTCTAATTTTTTTTTTTCCAAATTCAGTCTTTTTTTTTTTTTTTTGGACTTTTTTGTTATATTAATCAACATACATTACATCATTAGTTTTTGATGTAGTGTTCCATGATTCATTGTTTGTGCATAACACCCAGTGCTCCATGCAGAATGTGCCCTCTTT